CAGAACATTCAAATCGGTAATGCTTACTCTACCACCAAGTATAAATGCTGGGTCCCACAGGGTCGGCATTTCGCCGTACCTTTTTAAATTTTTACACAAGACATCCCTAAAGACCCTTCTGTTCATCTTGCCACTCTTTGCGATGACACCGCCATAACTAAAGCCTGCACAGTTATCGCCGTAAGAAACCAACTCCAAAACTACTATATCATAAAACTGAAAAATGGCTCACCTTTTGGAGGATTAAAATTAACACTGATAAAACTAAGGCAATAATTTTCCGTAAAGGAAACATGAAATACTATCCTCCACCCCCTGAAATATTTGACGAAGAAATAGACTGGATTATAGAAACCAAATACCTTGGAGTCACCCTTGATCAAAAACTTACCTTTACTTAGCCATCTGTCTGAGAACAGAACAGATTACAGAACCCACTTCCGGTCCTTCGTACAAAAATTTAAAATCACCACAGCGATTTTAAATTTTTGTACGAAGGATACAAGTGGTAGTTTTGGTAGAAAAAGCAACTTATCTACTACAAACAATTAATTCATATCGCCCATACTGTCGCCCAGCCCTTCCTTATGCAGCACCGATCTGGGGACATGCAGCTAAAACCAATATTAAACAATTACAAATTCTACAAAATAAAATTCTACGAGAAATTATCAATGCTCCTTGGTATATTCCAACATCTATATTCACAGACCTTCGAATCGAACTTATTCAAGAGTATATTAAACGATTAGCGGTCAATTTGTTTTATTCAGTACAAACCCACAGTAATAGCCTTATTAGCACTCTCAGACACTCCCCGCATGCCAGAGAAAAACATCGGTACCCATGTGACATCCTTCCCACATAAGAATTGCAACCTTAATTGACTCATTCACGCTAAACTGACTCTGCGGTTTACCACCCGCGGCTACATCTTATAACAACACTGAACTTCTTTTTTTCGTCTCCGCTAGTGCGGACCTCACTCTTTTTTTTTCGCCTCTCACACTTCCTTTTACCCTACTCTTTCTCCTCCCACTCGATTCTTATCAGAAGTCGAGTAAAAAGATGTTTCTAAGTCTTGACACTCGAGAATAAAATGCGATCTGTGTGTCACAGTGATAATAGTAACATGGCCTCGAAGCTTCACCATTTGAGTTGAACCTTTTCTCCTTCTATTCTAACCTCCTTGATTCAAGCACACGTCAGAATAAGCATATTTCTTCTGTTTTAATGGCAACAGTTACTTTTACTCTGACGTGTTGTTTCACTCCACGTTGAGTAAGTCGTCTGTCAACGGTGAATATTATGCTGGTTTTGGTTTAATTTTCGTAGGGATTCATGTACTTTTGTGTAAATAAATGACATGTCTGCATATGTATGTTTTCCCCATATACTGTATTTCTCTTGAAAATTTATGCTTATTAATGTTTAACATGCTAAAACGGAATTTTTAAAGGGATATGCTTAATAAGTATAGTTTTCAGTATGTTTTGTATAAATGCGATTTATACGTAACAATTGAATCTGTAGTCTGTAGGGTTAATTTTCTTTTGAATGGTTTTCTTTCTATTTTGTGAATAGTACATATCACAAATTTAGTGAGTATCTAAAAAAAAATTCTTTGTTGTATATTTCAGGAGTAGATACTGTTACAATATTTTTAATTATAATTAAACGTTTAAAATCTGTAGCTACTGTATCAAATTTTAAATCCATTTTAACTGCAGGAATCTTTAAAATTTCAGTTTAATTATGAAACAATTTTGGTGAAAGAAGTTTAATTTTCTCATTAATAACGTCACATATGTTGACTTGAATTTTGAAATTATCCTAAAACTTGTGTTTTGGAACTGTGCAAAAGCTTTCATGTATTAAGATGATTCATACTTTTTGTTTTATTTCAGGACTATAAGAATGCACAAGTGGTAATTTAAAATATTTTGTTTGTATCTGCTCTTCAGTTTTGATTGAAATAAAACTATGATTCGTCCTCCAAGTTCTCATGTTCCACCACCAGGAAATCAGTCCATGTTTCAGCCTCAGAGTGCAAACAAGGTATTCATTTATGTGTTTAAAAATCTTTTAAATAGAAATATTTTTTTTATAAAGCTAATAACTGCATTTCTCTCTACAAAAATTCATATATTATTTATATTTCATCTTGTGTGTGTGTATATATCTATGCTTTAATTAAATGTGTGTATATGTATATGCATGCTCAATAATATTAAAATGTATAATATTAAATTATTAAATTTTAGTTTTATTAATCACTCACTCAACACCCATGGTGCTTTTTCTTGTTAGAGGTGTTTGCCATAGATTACACATTCATAAAATTGTGTTATTTATGGGAAAAAAGATAGTTTCTTGAGTCCATATTTAAGCATCTTCATTTATTTGTGGAACTACTCTTATGTACACCCTAAATATTTTTGGGAAGAAACTCCATGGTCCCATATTACTATCTAAATTTTTTGTCTATATTTTGAACTTTAAGCCTAAAATGTTTCCAAAAACGCAGTTTTCACACGTGCAAAAACCACGTTTTGAACACACAATTTAAGCTAAAAATCCAAAACAAAAACCAAAAATTTAGATAGCTAAAATGTAAAGTTTCTAACCAAAAATATTTGACAAGAATTCATGTACACAGCGAGCAATATGTATTAACTTAAAAAAAAAAAAAATTGCACAATTTATGCAGTGAAGGAATCTATGAACTAAGCACACTTAGCTTAAATAAATTAACAACAATAAATTTGAAAGAATACCATGTATACAGTGTTCTGTTTAAACTTAAAAAAAATCTACGAATTGCACAATCTGGGCAGCGAAGGAATCTACAAACTATGCACACTTCTCTTTAATAAATTAACATAACACAAGAAAACCATGTACACAGCGTTGTGTTTAGACTTTAAAAAATATCTACGAATTGTGCACTAATCAACAAAATAAACTAAAATAAATTTCAAAAAATTTAAAAAAAAAAAAAAAAAAAAACTAACGACAGAAATTCATGCTGAAAAACAATGACCATAATATTCTACAAAATAAGAATAAAATAAAATGCACTTACAATGAATGAATGCTTCATCGAACAGCAGAAATACCAATTTCTAACATCGCCAAAATAATTTTGCCACAAATTTGTTAAATGCATCTTCTCCCATTTGAGAACAAAAATTGAAAAATATATAAACCACCAAATAAAATACAAAATTGCATTTCTGATTACAAGTAGGCAACGTAGCTTTAACATGCTGCCATGTAATCTCTATCATATTTCTACGACAGCCAGACTCTCTATCCACAAAATTGATACTATCTTTCACAAATAAATCTTCAAAACCTTCTCCTAAATACTTGTAGAATTTCCAGCCATCTGAAAAAATAGTTGTACCAGGCACGCGACTAAAATTGCCAACCTTCGTAAATCACGTTTAACCACACAACATAGCAAATTTTCCACTCGGGATTGCCATAGAAGCCGACATCACCCCCAAAACCATCACAGAACACACAATCATGCCCAAAACCAACACACAACATATATCGTTGCATTTGGCGACCTTAGGGTGCATGTAAGAGTAGAGCCTTGTTTTTGTATACAGACAAAAGTCGTTAATTCGGACACCCATAATCCGGAATGATCTCTAATCCGGACCTCAAAGCTACAAACTTTCTGTGCATGCATCGCGTTGACGCATGCGCGTAAGACCTTTACGGCTGCGAATACGCGTGTGCAAAATACGTTTACAAATGCACGTTTAATGTATAACGGACGGGATAAGCTAAGCTAAAATTATCTAATTCAGTTAATGTTGCAGATTGCGTTGTTCCTTAATCTTCGAATTGGATTCGGCTTATTATTTTATTAGAGCAATTTTATAAAAGTAAGCGGTGAACTTTCGATTATGTCAAATAGAATTTCTGATATATATTTACTAATATGTAAAGGATCTACAAAGCAAAAGTATGTTTCGAAGTCCATTAAACAAAAAGTAGAATTGCTGCAAAAAATGGATAAAGGCATATCCTTTGTTTATCTAAACTTTGTTTATCTTTAACGATGGGGCGCGCAATGAATTGGAAGTTGATCTGTCAACACTTATCCTTTCAGGGCAAATGTTTTTATTTTATTTGGCTTATAATTCCTTACTAACTGTAGTATTTCATCTCGATGTACTCTGGCTTTGATATGATTTAAATCAAATTCCTCTTCATTATAATTCGCTTCCGATAGTGAAGAAAGTGACACAGAGGTTATTGAAAACGAAAAAATTTCGATTGACAAATTAGTCAGTATTCTTGACACAGCAATTATAGGACTTCAACAGCGGAACTTTGTAACTGAAGAAGAAATTATGTCTGTTTATAGAATTAAAGATAAAGTATTATCACATAAAATGAAGCAACTTAAACAACTTGCATTGAAAGAAATGTTTAATAAAGTAAACAAATAAATATGCTTTTTTTTTTTTTTTTTTTTTTTTTTGTAAATTTTGATACCCTTTAGATCATAATTGTTCTTTATTTCATAAATTACGGTTTCATATTTTTAATTTTATAATTTCGGCATGCCATCTTACCAAATTTAAACTGATGATCTATAATTCGGAAAAATCGATAATCCGGAATCGGCGAAGTCCCGACGAGTCCGGATTAACGACTTTTGACTGTATTTACTTGCATGATCAGTCAATAAGTATATTATAGGACAGAGCACATCCATATAAAAGTTAAAAGTGAATTTTACAACTTTGTTTCAGAGTTAGAGGAAAGAGAGTGTAGTGTAATTCAGTGACCTTTAAATTCTGGATAATTTCAAACTGCATATACAGGGCATCCCAGAATTATTGTGACCAGCTTTAAGGGAAGGTAGGGAACATCACAAGGATTTAGATCCATAGTTGGAATAGTCGTAGCAATCCATGATTGGAAATGTCATGGGAAATTAGTATGACAAGTACAAGAAACAAAGAAACAGAAGAGTGAGATCATCTGAAATATTTATTGATAAGAGAAACTACATGTGCTGTGGTAGATGTTATGTGAAAATGTAATAAGAGATGTTCAAAGTTTCCACCATTGCTAGCGATGCATGCATTACACCGTCGAACCATGAATTGGCGGACTAGCTCAAATACACTTTGATTTTGTTGGATATCCATAGCTGCACAGACTATTCTAGCAACCAGATCCATTTTGGAATCCACAGGTATTGCGTTCACAGCACTTTTGAGTGCAACTCGTAGAAAGAAATCCATGTTGCTTAAATCAGGAGAGCGGGGTGGCCAGGATACTTGTCCACCATGCCTAATCTATCAGTGACCAAACACCTGATGTAAATGTTCATGAACACATCTGCCATAATGGGGAGGTGCCTTATCATATTGAAACCACATATGGTGGCACAGGGCCAAGTAAATTTGGTAGCACCTCCTCAAAAAGATGAGATAATCATCAGATGTTAAGAGGTACTGGCAACAAGTAGGTCTGACTAAGACCAATCGCATCAGCCCAAACATGTACCGAAAAGCAATGTTGGGTTGTGATCTCGTGCTATAGGGATTCTCACCAGCCATAAACGTGAATTTTGGTGGTTGAACACACTATCAAGCGTGAAGTACGCCTCATTCGTAAATAAAACCTAGGATGAGAATTGCACTTCTTGGCAACAATGGTTAAGATACCAGCGTGCAAAATGCCCACGCTCAGAATGATCAGTGGAGAGCAGTGACGGTATTCTTTGAAGATGGCATGAGTGTAAACCTTCATGTTGCAACACATAATGAACACTATTTCGAGATCCTCCAACGATGGCCTGTACTCCGATACTTGTATTTCTTCAAATGGTATCTCAACTTATTTTGTTCCATGCTGGGGATTCAAATTGCTAGTGGCCTGCCCTCACTATGCCTATTACCTTGTTTGTAGTGATCTATATTCACACAAATTGTGAAGCAAATTAGTAAAGGTCCAGTTCATCTCTCTGTGGGTATCTTTTGTGATACAATCTTTCTGCTGCTCTTAAATTTCCTTCTGCCAGTCCATAAATCATGCATATCTGCCAGTTCGTTGGTAAAATGTCCCATACTCCTCTGTGGGCGATGACTGCAACAATGCAGGTCTGTTTCCTGCAATGCTTTTGTGAACAACGCCACCTAGTGCTGAACGAAGGCATTTCTGACCATGGGTTGCTATGCAAATCTAAATCCTTGTGATGTCCCCTATCTCCCCTTAAATTTTGTCCCAGTAATCCTGGGAAAACTTGTATATTGTTCAGGATTCAAAATTCTTGAAGAAATTGGTTGTTTATTAGTAAAACGTCATTTTGGTAAAAATATATGTACAGGTGCACCTTGGCGAAAAGTGGTGATTTTGGGGATTTCTTTGACTTGTTATTTTGGCTTTGTATAGCGTTATTTTGGCTTTGTGTAGTGGCGCAAAAATCGCTGCTACACAAATCTCCTATACCTAAATCCAAAATAACAAGAATTTCACAAACTCAGTATCCAAGTACACATCCACCTATTGTCACTTAAAAAAAAAATCGAAGAATTGCTCAAACTAGGCTTTGTGCACTCCCTTTGCCCATGTACACATTGATCTGTATTCACTCGAAAAGTCAAAGGAGCAGCCAACAAAAAATAATAATCTCAATAAACTACATTTTAAGTCAAACAATGAAATAACCTAAAGAAATTTCATCTAAAGACTACACAAAGGAAATATCCACTTGCCTTACCTTACAAATTTCTGCATCTTCAGTCAAACAAAATTCCTTAAAAGTATCCAAAAATTTCCTAAAATTATCTGAACTAGAATTTGTATACTGGCATCACCACGTAAAATCACAAAAATAAGAGTAAAAAATATCCTTCGACGTTTGATCATACCCATTTCCTTCCTACAAACAGGACACTTATAATGGCTACTAAGTAAACCTTCATTTACCAAGCAGTCAATTAATGCTCTTTTCCCTTTTGTTCCAAATCATACAGAAACCTCAAATTAATTAATCACATTTAGCCATTTTACCTTGTAAACCACAAAGTAACGTACTTATTCAAAATCCAACACACAAACAAACCTTTCCAAGTCTTTTCCCATCATTCAAATTCATCGCAATCATGCAACCAATTACGTCATAATAGGGTTTCCGTAGCATTCAACTACTCAGGTTACCATAAATAAAACAACAGCTTGGTAATAAATGAAACAACTTATCAACAAAACAAGGGGCATCCTTAAATCTACTCTAACCTTCATTTTTCAATGTTAAATAGATTTACATCTCATTTTTATGTAACTAAAAATTATTAATGCCACAGGGAAGAGGAAATAAGAAGCTCCTATCAGTGTAGTGATAGCAAGGAGATCATTTGAGAAATATCATGATATCCATTACTGGAAAAAATATATATATAGTTTATTGACATAGGATAAAATAGAGATTAAAAAAAATAGTGTTCGATCATTGTTATCTTGTAATCCTATATTTTCAGAGGAATTTAAAGTTTAATTTCTATCCCATTATCTGTAAAATGAGAAATATGATATCCATTACTGTTAAAAAAATGGAAAGTTTGACTTGGAGTAAAATAGAGATTAAAAAAGCAGTGTTCATTCATTTTTATCTTATAATGTAATTAAATTCTAGCTCATATATTTCACATCAATTTAAATCTTTATTCCCATTACCTCTCTAAGTGTAAAATTTTAAGAATCTCATTATTAGTGAAATAGAAATTATACAAGTATTTAAATATTTCTTATCAGTAATAACGAATAGTTTTGAAAACTTTAGTTTCTATCTAGAAATGCGCTGAACCTGTAGGGTTGAATTTATATTAAACAAAATTTTTCTCGTTTCCTTCTTTTCATGTATGTTATCGTCGCTATCATGTCGTTTCATGTATGGCATGCATTTCTAATAAATTCTTATAAATGTACTATATTATCATGCAGGTTTTATACATATCATCTGTAATCAAATACCATATTTTCCAGCCGAAGTCAAAATTTTAAGCCTTAAAAGTAGTAACTTCTCAAATATCTAATCACTTTATATATCAGATATAAAAAAATGGCAATTTAATTAACTTCCGTGTAGACTTTTCAACAAAGTTTAAAGATATTAAATAAAAGCAGCAAATTACATATATATCGTTCCAAATGAATTATTATTTTCTCAAATTTTTTTTTAAGTGATAATGTATGTTTTCATCACTGTTCTTCAATGTCAGTATATGTTTATACTAATTACCTGTGTTACTGAAACATATTAAAAAACTGGGTAAGAGTTTTGCTTTTTAATTAACTTAAACTCGTGGACACAGAGTTAAAGTTGGGTATCATCATTTCAAATTGGATCAAATCACATTGCTTTCCAGCATCATATTGGTCCCATTCAAGAGGAATTTTTCAGGCTAGTTCCATCCTTGGCACTTAGCAGCTGTTTCTAAAGAAATTAATTTGTTTTTCTATGGCATTTAGACAATTTTTATTTATTTTCTTTTGTTAAATGTTAAAGAGAAAATTTATAGTTGTAATGAGCAGTTTCTGAAGATCAGATGCTCAGATCATTGATAGTGATTAGCAAAAGGTGGACCTAATAGCGGGACCGGAAAGTAATGTTGTTTCTGTGCATGTCGACAACATGTTAAGTGCAGAAGTGGAAGCAAATCCATGTCAAACACTCTTAACCAACCTTGGTCAACCATCCAAGAACATTTAAAGCAGAATAGAAAAATAAGCAAAGTAGGTGTCTGAGTCTCCCATAATGTCCGAAAAGAACAAAGCCATCCTATCCATCGCATGCAACGTATTGCTTTAGCGGCACCATACAGAACCGTTTTTTGATCGTTTGATTAGTGGAGACAAAAAATAAGTCCTGTATGATAATCCAAAACTCAAAAGGCAGTTTTAGTAGGGGTTACAAAGGGTTTACATCCCGAAAAGCCGCTTCTGGGTGTTTGATATAGTATTCGCAGAGTTGTTCATTTTGAATTGCTGAAACCTGAAAAAACTGTTAATGTAGACCTTTATTGTGAACAATGGGATCTAGTGAACCAATCTTTAATTGAAAAATATCTGGCGATTGTCAACGGAAAAGGCGTCATTCTGCAACACGACAATGCAAGACCGCACTGTGCAAGACGAACACTGGAAAAAATGAGTGAACTGGGGCGGGAGGTACTGCCATACTCACCCACCACACTCGGCTAATATCGCAGCATTAGATTTCCATTTATTCGAATCCCTACAGCATTTTCTTAGTGGCAAAAAATTTGAAAATTTGGATGATGTCCAAAATGTCCTCTCGAGATATTTTACTCAAAAACCAATTGATTTTTATCGGTCCGGGATTGAAAATCTGCACATTAGATGGCAAAAGGCTGTTGATAACGAGGGTGATTATATTATTGATTAAAAATAAAATCTTGTTAAAAATGTATTCGTTTGAGTTTAATGTAAGAAAACGACATTACTTTCCAGTCCCCCTATATAAGGTGTTTCTAAATTAATGATCATTGAGCTAAAATCTGGAGATTGACTTGCATGGCTGGAAATATAATCTTATCTACTAGGAATTATTTTAATATCAGTTAGCAATATAAAAGGTATTCTGGGTTCATATTTTTGTACTATAAATCTTAAGGAAAGCTAAAGTTAAAAATTGAAAAAAAAAAAAAAAAAAAAAAAAAAAAAAAAAAAACTCCTTTAATAGAATAATGCCAGTGATGAAAATGGTAAAACTGTAATAAAACTGTATACTTTTTTATCTGATATCCAACCCAGGATGTTCATTTCCATTGTTTTTTACATTTTTGGTTTCTCATTAGAAAGTGTTCTATGGAGGTACCTTGGTTTCTGGCATATAGTTCTTGAATTTATTGCCATGATTAAATATTTAACCTAAACATATGTAATCTAAAATTTATCAATTTCTCTTGAGAAATCCTCTACATTTTCTTTATAAGACAGATTCTTACTTGATTTTCTATATTTTTTTTTTACCCGCTATACACAATTTTCATGATTTTTTTAAATTTAATGTGATCTCCTAAGTATTAACTGAGACTGCTTGTTTTTATTATTAAGTGAAATTTTACGCATTTCATTCAGTATATTGAGTATTTTATTTGTACCCTAAGTATATCTATAGTAGTATATGAAAAATATATTTATATGTAAAAGTAGTTTATATATAAAACTACTATATATATATATCTACGGTACTTATATAAAAATAGTTATATATATAAATATATAACTATTAGATTGCATTAAGGAAAAAGAAACTTTTGTTGTAAACTGCTAATTGTGAGAGAAAGTTAAAAATGGTAATAGTGGCACGTTGAGTTATAATTTCTGAAAATGAATTATTGTTATTAAAAGAAACTATACCATAAAAGCTTCCACGTTGTAATTGTATGGTGCAGAAAATATGAATTTTGTAAAAACAGTTTTGTTGATTTTTTCGCTCTAGCTCAATAGAATGCACTAATCAATAGAATGTACTATTTAGTTTAGTGTTAAAAAGGCAAGAGAAATTTAAATTGAGTTTTAAAATTTAAATGTGTTTATTTTGTCATATCTGAATTTATATTAAAAATAATTTTCTACAGCTGTCTCAGCAGATGCAGGGCTTAAATTTAGGACCATCGTCACCACAGCATCCTGGTATGTCTAGTTATGCATCACATCCAGATAATCAGCAAATGGTGCCAGGCCCTCCAACTCTGAATAATCAGCAGTTTCCTTCACCTCTTCGTAATAAGTCTCAAATTTCAACTAATGTGACTTATAGTACTCAGCCGAAAGCTACATATCCATATTTAAATAATAATCCTCCTGGAAATGTAGGAATTCAGCAAAATATGAATAATAACCAATACAGTCCAAGTAATACTTTTCCTGGTCAAGTAACTATGTCATCATCGCCCATGAGCCCCCAAGCTCAAAACGGAAATAAAAGTCTTACCAATCCAGTTCAAGCTTATTCTCCTAATCCTACAAGTATTAACAGTCCAAATTATAGTAATGGCATAAGCAATGGTCATGAGGATAGCAAGCAGCCTTGGAATGCAGGATTGCAATCATATCAGTCTCCACATCCAATGCCAAATCAAAGCATGCCTCAGTCGTCATCCCCTCATCAAGGGCAAGTGCAATATCTTTATGGTACTCAGAATCGAAACTTACAGCCACAGCAGAATGTATCCACGAGTCCACTTACGAATACTGGACCTCCTGTTCAACATTATATGTCTCCTAACTCTGAAATAACTCAAAGCCCTGGGCACAATGTTATGAATAATCAATCATTACCTCCAATACAACCCGGCTATCAATATCCTTCTCAACCATCTAATATGTCATTTCCTCCTAACATGTCGTCACCCCCTACATCTCCTGTTTCATTTCCTCCTGGTCCACAGCAGTATCATGGAATGCCTCCCAATCAGCCAAGTCCACAATTTCCAGGCATGACTCCACAGAGTCCTAGTAATTATCCTTATGGTGCTTCCAGTCAAGGCCAGCAACAACCACCAAAGATTGACCTGGATCAGATGCCAAATACTGTAAGTTATCCTGCATATATTCATTAACCTATCTTACTGTTTTCTAAATTATTTCAAGTAACTATTTTAATTATTTTTTCCTTCTGTTATACATCAAATTTAATATTTTTCTTAGACATGAACAAGAGAAGAATTGTTGAATGCGATTTATGCTTTTTCAGATATTGATATTGCCAGAAAATCAAAAGTTTATCAGCTTTACCACCTAAGTCAGCATGGTCCAACCTGCGGGCCGCATGCGGCACTCTTAATTTTGTTGGTACTTGCCCTTCTTTACTGGAAAAAAAAAATGTTAGTTAAACATTAGGAAAAACATAAGACCCTTCTTACTGCTTTAAATAATAAATATAAATAATTGTATTAAATATAATAATTAAATAATACAAATTATAAGGCTCAGACAATGAAAACTGTTGTAATTATTGTAAATTTAATAAGCCCGGAGATACAGAGCATTTATTGCATTTGTGGACAATTTGGATGCTTGAATGTGGTGATATTTTATTGTACTATTAAGTGTGTTGGCTTAGTGCTGGAAATTGTCTACAACAGTTTTTTTGGGTTGAGAAATAAAATTCTTGCTTTCCTCAAAAAAGAAAACATTGGGCATGAGTTATCAAAAAAAATTTGAAGAAATCCAGATTTTAAATAATCTTGATTTTCTGACAGATTTAACATCCCATCTAAATGCTTTAAAACAAAATATATCCCAGCTTTATGGACACATTGAAGGCTTTTGCAAAAAAATTAATGTAATGTAAATTGCACTGAAGACAAATAATACAGCACACTTCCCATTTTGCCAGCAGCTGAAAGAAGAAAATGACACTTTTAGTATGTTTCATGAAATAATTACTGATATCAAGAAAGAATTCCAGGACAGATTCCAAGCCATACCGTACAATGTCAAGTTACACCTGTCTTGTGACTGAGTAAAGTTGTTGTTGAATATGATAATAATGGGGGGGGGGTGCCATATTCCTTGAAACAAAAGTTACGATATGAGAAATTAAGTAAAAATGATGTAGATTAACAAAAGCTATGTACAATTTCTTCTGTTTCTTCCACTGAACTACAATATTTTGATACACTTTCTCATCCTAAAACTTCTGTTCAGAGAAAATTTATATCCTTTTTAAAAATCCAGAAATATCTTGGTACTTAACAAAATTATGATAAAATATCTATTATTTAAACCAGAGCTGTTTTATCATAAATTTTAAACAGTAGTAAAATTGCTGTTTAAAAATTTAAGGGTTATATTTATTTTTAATCAATTTATTCCTTCGTAAAAAAAAATAACAGAAGTAAACAAAATCTCAGTCCTGATCATAACACAGGCTTGTTGGCTGACCTTCAAGAATAGGTTTATAAAGAATGGGGTCGAAGGCTAATAGAATTTTTTTGTTAGAAAGTAGAAAGGATGTCATTCAAAATCTTCACACCTATTTTCTGTGTTAGTGGATGGGGAGGGGAAGAAATTGCTGTGAAACTGGAAAAGTATTTCAGGCAGTTTTAAGCTGTGTCCCTTGTAGCTTCTCCACAAAGGACTGATTTTTCCTCACGTGAACCTATCAGATATCCTGAAAATGAAAATTCACAGAAATGTGCTTAGTTGACATGATTAATTCACCAGTGATTAGCTGACATGCATATTAATGGATATAAAATTATATATTTCAGCATACTTATATGTCATTTAGTAGCCTTAATGGTACATCATACTGTTTTTAAATTTGTTTATATTTATTACTTTATTTAATTTTGATATTTAAGAATTATTTTAGAGAAAAGGTATTTGTAATCTTTTAATACAGTTAACTTTATCCTGTAATTATTATTTATAGTATTTTATAATTTAAATTTTAACTGAGACAGTACTCTCTCTCTCTCTCGTCTTCTTTTTTCTTTAACTTTTAATGTTTGTTTCAGGTTCAAGTTCGCCAGGAAGATAAGAATTTGAGAAGTGGTTATTATTCAACAGATGTCAAAGGACAGTGCCCTCCCTTAGTTACTACAAATTTTATTGTTCAGGATCGAGGTAATTAATATATGTAAGATTTTATGCATTTGGAGACAAATTAGATATTGCAGATTTAGCATTTTGTAGGTCGTGGATGGCTCAATCAGATATTTCTTTCTATTAATCACTATAATATTACCAATATTAACAGTAAAACTGGCCTAGGTTGTCCCAAGAACCTCAAATCTACTAAAATCATCACAAAGAATGTTTTACTTGATAATTCCAAATGTTCTTACTTTCCATGATGTTTTTCCCTTGTGATGTATTTATTGTCTTTATGGTTTGGACCAAGGGTTCTCAACTGGTGGTACACAAAGATACAAAATATTTTTAAGTATTAAATTCAAAAATTAAAACCCCAACATCCTGTTTTTTCTCTGATGCTCGTAAATTTATGCGATCTGAGCTTTGTTTAAGAGTGGTGGTTGTAGTTGTACATTGTAATGGTGGTACTAAAGGATTTCAATTTTTGTTTAGATGGTACGCGTTAGTCAAAATGTTGAAAATCACTGGTTTAGACTAAGGATTCTAAGCTCTTTTCTTGCATTGATCCCTTTAAAAGAACGTTTTTATTCATTGACCTCCTTACATGTTTCTGTGAAATAGGTAGCGTAAAACATAACTTTTAGTAACATAACAATAATATAAATAATTGCACTTAAATAATTGATTAGACTAAACAGCATGGCATAAAATTATCAATTCTTAAATCACCTCATTCAAAACTGTTCAGTTTGTTTCTTAATTAAATTAGTTAATAAATTATTGACTTGGAATAAAGCCTTTCACTAGGTAAGAAAAAGAAAAAATCAATAATGTTGGTTCAGTAACAACTTTTATTTTGGGATATTTTGCTTGGATGACTTTTAAATTTCAAAACCTGTGTGTAACAATATATTTTAAATAAGATTTGCACTTAAACATCCTCTTTCAATGTAGTCAATATATTTTGCATCATAATAAAGATCAGATATATTGCGTTTCACTAAGTTCTATGAGCCATGCTGGCATATTCAGTTTTCAGAATGTTAAAACCTAAGATGTGAATTTTCTTTCAAATTTTGTAGGTGGAAAGTATATAATAATATGCCTTCCAAGAAAATGCAGTTCTTTTTAATAATGGACATGCATATTAATTTTATTTTTTGGCTTTTTTGCTTCCTTGTACGAAGTAAAAAGGAAGTATTGTAATCGTGAAACGTTTCAGGCAGCATATTTCAACAAAAATATCCCATTTTGATCTCTTTCAAATGCAATTTAATGATTTATTTCAGTGATATCTGTATGTAAGGACAGAATAAAACACTCTTTTCCTCCAAAAAAATTATAAAACTGCTTTAAAAAAAATTCTGAAGAGAATTTTTCGTGGCGTCTGTACGAACGTATGTACGTAGGTATCTCGCATAACTCGAAAACGAGTAGCCTCAGAACATTGAAATTTTGTATATAGGACTGCTATAACATGTAGATGTGCACCTCGTATTTTGGTTGCAATCAGGCGCACCAAACGTATATAAATATATTTATATATATATTCACTCTGTTACCCGGCTCAGTGATCTCAGTTTTCTTTACTCTTATATGTTTGTAAATTGTACATTTTTTGCTTTAAAAATGATTGAATTATGTTGTTTTTACTCTTCCAGTTAAAGGTTTTTATGCCTTTCGTAATTCTGGAAGCAATAATTGTACAATTATCAACAATTTAAAAAGCTGTTTTAAGTGCGGTTAAGTTTTAAATAACATTGTAGACATATTTGTTTACATTTGAAACAGCAGAATTGTAGATTTGTTGCCAATCTAGAGAGACTTAGCTTCGCAACAACAAAGATAATGCCTTCATTTATTATTTAAATCATGCTTAATCCTTTCTAGAATTTTTTCAAGGAAATAAGTGTTTAAGATTTACTTCGTAATTTTTAATACAGATATTTTGAGTTTATGTATTTTTGCCTTGTCGCGAAGTGAAAACTGAATTAATTGAATGAAAAATACTCAATCGTCTATGAAAAACTGTTCTTTTTTGTTTTGTTTGCTTAATTTCTTTTATACATCGTTCTAGCTTTGTTATAGTATTTGAATAGAACATGTGGCAACGATTAGATAATTCTTTAAATGATATAAATTTTGTGCATTCTGAGTTATAATATGAACGAAATATAATACTGTTAAATAAACCTAGCGCCAGAGTGTCGCTATGGTAAACAAAGTGAATTTTAAAGAATGCATTTATTCTATTGTGGTTTATGTGCTGTCGGCGAAGTAGGTTTAATTCAATCTAATAATTTTAAAGTAAATGCGTATAATTTAATATTCCATACAAGGAAGTCATGTGGTGTACACATCAGATTTTTTTAATATCAGGTAAATTATTAAAGTAATGGAATTCTGTCTGATTCGGTGCTTATATAAATAAATTTTGCAAAATCGAAGGTAATCTTTCTGCCAGATGAGATTGATGCCTCTTCTTTGCAGTTTGTTTTCTGTAGCATTGAATAATGAATTGTATCAGCCATGTAGGATACATGATTTTTTAAAAATTTTATTAAGTTTACAATTTTTTTAAATAAATGTGTTTTGTAATTGTTAAGACTTTTATTGTGTCAATCAGTTGGCAATGTATATCCATCTTTAATGTCAATGCATATGTATCATCATTAAACCCCCTTTAAAACTTCATTGGCCTTTTAGAGAATTAAAAAAGAGAATATCTTTTGTTCTCTCTTTTTATATCTTTATGTGCTTTGAAATTCATTGTGAATTGTTTTTTCTTTTTTCCCATTTCCATGGTCGTCCATTTAAATACATTTTTTATGATTGTGTTAATTTTGATGAGAGGTATTTATATATGTTTTAATATATTAAATTTAATTATATAGTTCTATGTTATATTATGATGCTCTACTTTAAGTATCATATTTCTTCTTTGCTGTTATTTATTTGCCTCATATTTTATTTAAAGACATATGTCTTTTTAAATATCTTAGTATTTTAATTTGTATGCTATTTTCTTTGTATTTTCATTTTTATCATAATTCTTAAGGAATAAGTCACTTGGTATGTAGTAGCTTATGGTTTAAAATATTTTCTTTAATAATGTAAATGGCATCTCAGTGAATGGAATATGAAAAAGGAGGCTAAAATTACTAATTTAAAAAATTTTGCTAATAAATACTGTTTAAGTATTTATTAGCAAAATATAATATAGGACTTATGAGCAGCTTCGAAAAGCAGTGCTACTCGGAGGATTATAAGTATGTAGAAGCATAAGATACTAACAGGGTATTTTATGTAAAAATCTTATCTGACATACCATATTTAAAATAATTTCTTCTAAACGGATAGTGAAACAGAACTTAATTCTCTTAGTGTGTATTTCACTACTGTATAAAATATAATAATTCACAGATAATGTTTTTCTTATATTTGATACTCTGAGTTCATTGATCAGTCTGGAGATATTTTGCATAGTAGGATGTATACATTTCAGTAACATAGAAATTATTTACTGAAGCATTTTTCTTCATGTAAAATATCTCCTTCAACATACTGTAATATTTGTATCAATATGTTATAAATAGGGGCATAGCCATGCATCAGTACTAGTACATTATGGATTAAATTGCCTAAGTTATCTTGCTATAATTATGATTAATAAAGTCCAATCTTTAAGGTAATGTTAATCTCTAAACTGATTAGAGTTTTATATTTTGCCCCCCCCTTTTTTTTGGTAATATCTGATAAAATAAATAACAATGTAGATATGTGAAGAAAGTAAAGCAGGCTGACTGTAATACTTGTCTAGTGTACTTTTGTAAGTGAAGCAGTATGGTTTAAGTGTACTTTTATATTTTTAGTGATTACAGTACAGTACAAAGTTCGAAATCCGGACTCATTGGGACTTCGGCAATTCCGGATTTGGGATTTTTCCGGATATTAGATCATCAGTTTAAATCTAGTAAGATTTCATGTAGAAATTATAAAATTAAAAATATGAAATCGGGATTTATAAAATAATGAAGTGTGTATGATCTAAAGGGTATTCAAATTTACAAAAAAAAAGCTTAATATTTATTTGTTTACCTTATTAAACATTTCCTTCAAAGTAAGTTGTTTAGTTTTTTGTGATACTTTCTTTTTAATTCTGTAGAGAGACATAATCTCTTGTTTAGTTACATTGAAGTCGTGCAACTGCTGTTTCGAGAATTCCGATTAACTTGTCAATCAAACTTTTTCGTTTTCAGTAACCTCTTTGTCACTTTCTTCACTATTAGTAGTGGTATTTTCTGATCTAAAACCATACTACAGATTTCACCATCCATTAATTGATTGCTGATTGAGGAGCATTGTCATCACAATGAAAAACTTCTTTTACAATGTACGTCCAGAAAGTAAGTTCCATTTGGTAATAAAAGTAAATTGTGTACAGCTACAGAAAAGTTATTTATTGCACAAAATTCAACAACTCTTAAACTACTTTTCCACATAACTGCCGAAATATTGCAGGCATTTGTCATAGCGTGGCACAAGATTTTGTATACCTTCTTTATAGAAATTTGCCGCCTGTGTCTTCAACCAGTTGGAAAAGGTTTCTTTCAGCTCGTCGTCATTGTTCAAGTGGTGACCGCCAAGGAAAGACTTAAGATGTAAGAACAGATGAAAGTCGCTAGGAGCGAGGTCAGGGCTGTATGGAGGATGGTCAAACACGTCCCAGCTAAATCCCTCTAGGAGGTTTTTCGTCACATTTGCAGTGTGGGGTCGTGCGTTGTCGTGAAGAAAAACAACACCTTTTGACAGCAATCCTCGGCGCTTATTCTGTATTGCGCAGCGCAATTTCCGAAGTGTCTCGCAATAAGCATCTGCTCTGATTGTTTGACCACGTGGTAAGAAATCAATGAGTAAGATGCCTTTCCAGTCTCAGAACACTGTGCACATTATTTTTCGAGGTGTCAAGATTTGCTTCGGCTTAACCTTTGGTGGGGATGAAATGTGCCTCCATTCCATTGATTGCCGCTTACTTTCAGGGGTGTCGTAAAAACCCAAGTTTCATCTCCTGTGACTATCTGTGTCAGAAATTCTTTGCCGCTTTCAGCATAACGGGTCAAAAACTGAAGTGCACTACCCATCCGTTGCTCAGTAAGAATCTTTGGTACCCAACGTGAGCAAAGTTTACGAAATTTCAGTTTTTCGGTAACAATTTCATGCATTAGTGATCGTGAAATTTGGAGAAATTCCATAGCGAGAGCACTAATTGTAAACCTTCTTCGATTTTATGGATCTTGTCATCAATCGCGTGAAACCAGTTCTTCTGTAACCAAAGATGGACGCCCACTTCGTTCCTCATCGTGCACATCACTACGTCCGTCATTGAACTTTCGGACCCATCTTCTCACCATTGAATCACTCATCGCTTTTGGTCCGTAAACATCGCAAATTTGCCGATAAATTTCACTAGGTTTCACTTTCCTCGCATTCAGAAAACGAATCACAGATCTGATTTCACAAGCGGCGGGATTTTCAATCAACACTGACATTGTAAACAAGCACAACAAAGCATACGTGACTGTCTCCAAATGGCGCACGTTTCTTCTCCTTGCGTCTACTGCGCATGTGCGGAACTGCGATCGCAGAGCTGCAGCGGAGATAAATTGAAATGGAACTTACTTTCTGGATGTGCCTCGCATGTCATCTTCATTTAATATCGCTTCTCCAGATTTCTTTACAAAATCCGTTAATTGCAAAATTTCACCTTTGTTTTGCAATATCTGAAAACCTTTAAAATTTGCGGCTATCATTATCAAATTTAGCTACCATTCGCTACACATATTTGGCTATGTATCATGAGCTTGGCGACTAACGACAAGTTGTTCCATTAAATTTTTATCTTGCTTCTATCGCGCAGAGACAATTAAGCCTGAATTGTATTAGTTTAGTTGTTTATTATACTTATGTCTTATTTCTTGCACATGCTTAAGGCTTATCAGAGTTCTGAATAAATAAATTCCCACATATACTTAAGCTTTATTAAGGGGCCAGCGCAAGTTGTCATATTTTGATGAACATGTGGTGATGAAAGGAAAGTATAATAAATAATGATTGGCCAGATTGGCATCAGATCAATGATGTATGTATGTGGAATGTTTCAGTTTGAGATATTTGTCAAGCAGATACACAGCAGTGGAGCGAATTTACTGATCGTACAAATTTATGCTAAAATGATTATTTCTTCAATAACAAGGGCCCACCAGCGGCCGAAAGGTAAAGTCGCTGAACATTGGTAGTTCGGTCCGAGGTTTGAATCCTGCAAATGAGCTGTCTGCATGGGTGTTTTCGTGGTTTTCCCTATGTGTAGCATGTCTACGAGCCAGTTTCCCTTAGAAAGTCCTCCATATAAAGGCATCCCTCTCCTCAGGCAGATAGCCCTAGTGTGCTTTGCCATAATCAATACACCACACCTTCAATAACAAGGTATTTTATTTAGTGTCGAAGTGAAATTAATAATTGAGACTCTCCAGAAGTTTTATTATGTGCGGAGGGGGAATCAAATGTGCATGCATAAAGCCTAAGAGAAAAAACGCCGTTCGTGGTTTTGAGGTCCAGATTTTAGATCATTCTGGATAATGTACGTCCGAATTTCGGACTTTGTACTGTGCTATATTTTAGTAATTATAGTGATTTTAGTAATTACAGTACTTTTTATGTAAAGTATTTTTTACCCTCTTTAGGAATGTGTAGTCCACGATTCATTAGATCCACTGTTTATTGTCTTCCTAATAATCCTGATGTTTTAAAACAAACTGCTATTCCGTTTGCAATTACAGTTAGTCCACTGGCTGCTATTCATGATGGAGAGGTGAGAAATATTTCTTAAAACAAATTTTTTTATATCTCTCTTTCTTCTTTTTTAGAGAAACTGTATGATTATATCTTGCTGCAGAAGGAAATTGGGAACTGCTTCCTCCAACTGAAGGAACAATCTGATTTTAGTTTAATAAAGGCACCTGATTTCAGGAAAGAAAAGAACCAAAATTGCAACTGTTGGAAAAGACTCAGAAAACATTCACCTTTTGAGAATCATGCTCATGTTCCATTACACCAGATGGATTTTCTATGCCCCAAAATCATAAATTATGGTGATTAAGTTTGCCTTTCAAATTTTCACAGAAAGCTTTGTGCAACGTTTTGTTGAAAGGTTTTTAACACCTGTACCATTTGAAAGGTATATAATCAGGAATTGTACACATTTCCATAATGCACACTGTTGCATGAAGCACACTGAGTTCAGAACTCATACGAGACATTGATTTTGTGGAACAAAAACATGCACAAATTTTTTTTAACCACTTCAGTTTTTGCTGCTGTTTGTCCTGGGCTGGTTTTTACACAAGCAGCCTGTGATCTAAAATTGCTTCACCCACCATTCAATGTAGTGATGATGCAGTGGTTCTTAAACCAAACTTTGTGCAAAAATGCCTTTGAATGATGATAAATGATGATGTTTTGGCATACTCCAAAACATAGTACCCTTTCTCCTGCAATTGATGGTGTCATTTTGATTAACAGTGCTTCTAGGGGCAAACAAACATGCACAAATTTTTTCAACCACCTTACTATTTGCCTTGGGCTGGTTTTTACACCAGCACCCCATGTCCTAAAACCACTTCATGTACCATTCAGTATAGTGATGATGTGGTGGTTCTTTACCAAACTTTGTGAAAAATATCTTTGAATGTCAATAAACGGTGTTTTAGTGTACTCCAAAACACATCATGTTTCTCCAGCATGGATGGTGTCATTTTGATTAGCAGTGCCTCTAGTGGCAATTTCGTAACCAAAATAATTTTTGCTGGTACCAACTAAAACTTGTATAATTTGTAGTTTCAGAATTTGTTTTGGCTGTATAAATCAGTTATGGAATTTTTACTATTCTATTATTTTTGGCCCATTCAATATGAAATACCCTGTATTTTTTAGGGTGGAATATATTATCGATTAGCATTTTTTCCTTCATAGAAAAACAATATCATTTGAAACTGCGGTGGTTATCTTAGGGATATTTCGTTAGATATGTGAAATATTTGATACGTTATTAAGAATCAAAATATCTGAAAATATTTTTGTGGTTACATATTTGAAAAAATGAAAATAATTCTTAAATCTCACATTTTATAACATCATTGCAGTTTGATTGTAAAATTTTGTGTCTGCAATTTTTGCTTCTTTCTCTTTTATATGAAAGTTGTTTAAAAGAGAATATTTAAGAATAATGGAGGCATCAATCAAGTTGTAACTAATTAAATGATTGATACAGATCATTAAATTAAAAATAATAGTTAGGAATCTTCTCCTGGGTGAAGGCACTATTTTAGCAGTTTTGAACTTTTATCTCAGTTCTGATTTCAACTATTGTTCTTTCCTCCACTCCTGATTGTTTCAGATAAATGTTGTGTTTTGTATGTTTTTAATTTTATTTCATAATTTGTTTTTGAAGTTGCACTTTTTAATGAATTTTCAAATTTTGAAAGCATAAATTGTAATGCCTAAAAAATTATTTTTTTCATATTTATAGAGGGAACCTCCAGCATGTTTATATCGAGAGCAGGGTCCTTTAAGGTGCAAGAGGTGTAAAGCTTATGTTTGTTCTTTTATGACATTTATGGAAGGGGGAAGATGCTTCCAGTGTGCATTTTGCAAAGTTGTTACTGAAGGTAAGTTGAACAAAATATTTATGAGATATATTTTATGCATTTTTCATCTTATTTGATTTATACAAAAGTATCAATTTTTTTAAGGAAGAAAAAGAGAAAAACTTCTATAAAGGTTATGACATTTCAGTCTGAAAGGTGCGTAAAAAACCAGTTTAGGTCACGTAATCTCTGTGAGTATTAAAATTTCCTCCCCCCCCCAAAAAAAGTGTTGAACTATTTTCAGCCAGTCTCCCAATGAAATTGCAATTTACTCTTAAGGAACTGAATATGTAGTAAATTTTGACCCATTCTTCACCCCAAAAAATCGGTTCATTATTGAACAGTTTGTTATTATTTAGAGATAATAGGAATTAACAAAAGGGTTTTTTTTTCTTATTGTTTAAGTAATGGTACTGTTTTATGGGAAAAATGTACCTAGCAACTAAATGAACTACCTACATAAGATTTTTTAACCCTTTGTGAATGGCTGATACAAGACTTGCTTAAGAAGGTGGTTGCTAATACAGATATGCTATGTATAAGTTTCAATAAGTTTTATGGTTAACACATATACAAAATAAGTATATCCTTATTTAGAAGGCCGCACACAAGGAAAAAAGTTTTAATAGTCCGCACGGTACCACTATAACTTAAAATGTGCTTTCTTTTAGTTCTCACGTTTCGTAAAAGCCAAATAAAGAATCATTGAATGCAATTACCAAACATATTTTTATTAAGGAAATTTAACAAACGGCAAGCTATTTTGAACATATGTAAATTTCAATAATAAATAAATAAATGAACGGCAAGCAATCAAACATAATACAAAATAAAGCAGAAGCAACAAAAAACACAGATTCAAGGAAAATGTTGCCTATCATGAAATTAGACTTTAATCACTTTCAAAACCATAAAAATCCTTTTCACTATCATCATCATCAAAAACGAGAATATAGTCATCCCTGCTGTTTCCGTCATCGCTAGTATCATCTTCTTCGAATAATGCGTCGTCTTCTGTTCCGTCAAGAGCATTACTGATTCCGCACTTCTTAAAGGACTTAACAATTACTTCAGCCTTTACTTCTTCCCAAGATCTTTTTACCCACTTGCCTACTTGTGAAATAGAGGGCCGCTTCATTTTACCTGAGGGTGTGAGGGCGTCATGTGGCTCTCCTATCCACTTGTTCCATCGTTCTCGCACTTTTTTTTTTTTTAAAATGGCTTATTCACCGATACATCTAAAGGCTGCAATTGGCTAGTCAGTTCACCAGGAATTACAGCTATCTGAGTTTTTAATTCTCTCGCTTTATTCTTTATGGTTTCAGTTCTATGAATGCTAAATTGATCCAAAACCAAAAGAGAGGGTTTTCTTAAGAGTCCACCAGGTCACCTCGCCCATACATTCTGTAACCACAGTTGTAACATTCCAGCTTCGTCCATTCAGCCTTTCGGATGAACATGAACAATTACACCCATTGAAAGTTTTTCTTTCAGATGAGTTTTTCTTTTGAGTATGAAAAACGGTGCTAGTTTTGTACCATCAGCACAACATGTTAGAACTACCCTATATCAGGTTTTTTCATGACCTGTGGTTTTTATGGTTATTGATTTAGACCCTTTAATACTTAGTCTTGTTGGATGGTACATCAAATGTGAGTGGAATTTCATCCATATTTCCTATTTGACCAAGCTCAAAAGAAGTTTTCTTCCGTGCATTTATAACAAACCTATGAAATGCTAGTATTTTTTCTTCATAATCTGCTAGCATTTTCTGTCCAATAGTTGTTTTTCTGCGCAGTGATAAGCCTTGCCTTTTCATGAACCTGTAGCACCAGCCCTCAGACACTGAAAAGTTCTGATTACCATGTTTTTCTGCAAATCCTTTGGCCTCATTGATTATCATTTTGGTTGAAACACTTATACCAGACTTCCTCTTATCTATCAACCACATTTTTAAGGCATTTTCAAGTTCAGGCCAAGATGGAGCTGGGCATCGAAGGTTATGTTTTTGTTTTTCAGCAGTCAGTTGATCTTCCTGCAGTTGCCAAGTACGTATCATTTTTTCGGTAGGTGGTGGACCGAAATGCCTTGCTGCTGCTCTGTTTCCATGCACTTTGGCTAGTTTAACACTTAGTTTATACTGAATTGTATAGCTTAATCTCTTGTTTCCTGTAGTCATATTTTCCAGGGTATTTTTTTAAAACAAATAGTTTTAAGCACTGATACCGACACGTTTATACAGAGTAGCACCAATACCGACATGTATGTCGGCTGAATCAAAGAAAGTCTATGTAAAGAAGGAAAGACGTAATGTGACCGTTGAACCTGTTCGAACTTCAACATCAACTTCAAGCTTTGGCGACAGTTCTATAACGCATGCGCAAAATAATTATGGCAGATGTAGAAAAAGTTATGTGTGTCTAGACCTTTATCCGGGCTAAAAATAGCATTCAGTATTGAAAGTTAACTTGTGTCCTTCACGTATAAGACACAGGTAACTTTTTTGAGACCAAATTTAGGGGGAAAAATGTGTCTTATATGCCGTCAAATACAGTATTTAAAATTACTCTCTAAATTTTCTGTCTGGAAGTTTTAAACTTAACACATTGTCTTCTGTGTGCTTAGCATCAGTCATCATCATTATCATCTTCAGTGACTTAAATGCACTTAGCACAATGCCTTCAATGGCTTACTCTTCGTGAGTACGGGTGTCACAATCCCAAGGTACTCTAGCCCTTTTTGGGGAATCATTGTTTCGATGAGGCAAGTGTTGTGATCCTGGAACTCCAGTAATCTGGCCTGCTTTCCCTTTCCCTTCCTTTTTGCTTTCACTTTCTGTTCCTTGTGGTTTCCTCTGTGGAAAATGGAGCTCACTGTGAGATGCTGTCACAAATCTGTTTTCTTTAGCTTATCATGGTAAGAAAACTACGTGTTTGCCATCCATAGAGACCTGTAAAATAAGTGACATAATATGAAAGACCGATTGAGAAAAAGGACAAACAATGCTTACCTACCAAAGGTACGTAAAGCTCTTATTAAATTATTAAGTCACATCTCATGTTTTGAAAGAAAATTCAGCTTCCCAAAGAGCTATTGCAAAATCTTTAAAGGAACTGTGAACAAAATTATAAAATCTGATTTAAAGCTAATCAAAAAAAAAAAAAAAAAACATGATGTTCATTGCCTAATTACAAAACATGTTTCTTAGCGTTATGTGCAGTGTGCTCTATAAAAATTATTTGGCAGGTGAAAAATGCAAATATATATTTACAATTGATGAGGTTTGGGTATACTTATCTGATGCAGTAGAAAAAGATTTATTATCAAAAAAAAGGAGAAAAAGACTTATTATGCTGTTTCAGAGAAAACAAGGAAAGTTTTTTAAAGGTTTTATGATTATTACTGGATTCTCTTATAAGGGAAAACTTAAAATAAGGAAAGTAGGAAAAATATCAAAATTAATTCGGATTACTATCAGAAATATGTTTTAAAAACTATTTTAAAGAAGAAATTCCATCTGTTTATCCAAATAATCTTCACTATGTTAAGTTCCATCAGGAAAGGCTCCAAACCATACTTTTAAATCTAAATGCTCTTTTTTTTTTTTTTTTTTTTTTTTTTTTTTTTGTAAAATGAGAAATGAAACCAGAATTGAAGCTATTCTTTTTAAATGCATCCTACCCAAGTTCTTTGATTTGTCTCCTGTGGATTACTGTTCATTTGGACTTTTAAAACAAGCTTTTTATAAGCGGCATCCCAAAACGTTGGATGGACTAAGATTGTAAAGGAGGAGTGGAATAAAATTAACCTTAATGTCTTAAGAAGAGGACTTTTATCTTCGAAATGAAAAATGTAATATGATAGTTCATCATAAGGGCTATCAGATTGAATATATTAGGAAAAAAAATTCTAAGGTTTGTTTATATATAAATATTTGCAAAATCTTTACAAAAATGTGTGAATACCAAGCCGCAAGAGAAACATGCCGACGTGGAAAATAAAACAAGCAAATCGACAACCTTGTATTCGGCGTAGATTTTGTTGTCAATTTGCCTGTTTTATCTTCTGGATATACAGTGGTGGCCAAAATTGTGGACACTTTTGAAAACTTTTATGTTTTTGAACTTTGTATGCTTATAGAAAACGTTACATTTCACAAATTGCAGACTTGTATATATCATTTTAAAGAGAATTTATTACTGAATTCAATAGAAAACACAAAATTCAATTATTTGCAATACAAAAAAAGTTAAATGATAATAGTTATCGATATACATTAGATAGTGATGATTGCAGCGAGTTATCAGTACTTAGTAGGGTACCCTTTATTTTTTATTACAGCTTCACATCGACGTTTCATTGAGCTGACAAGAGTTTTAAGCTCTTCTTTGGTTATTACATGATGCTAGGAAACAATTATAGCCTCAATTAGTTCCCTTTTATTTGATTGGTGCCTCATTCGGACAAGAGTTTTCAAACGGTGCCACAAATTTTCGATAGGATTGAGGTCAGGACCGTTTCCTGGCTATGACAACAATTTAATGCTCTTTGTATGAAACCACTCTTTGGATATTTTGGCCGTGTGGCAAGGAGCAGAATCCTGCAGAAAAATAAACGAAGCATTGTTGGGAAAGAAGTATGGAATGGAAGGTAGAAGTTTTGGTTCTAGAATAGTGTCAATGTATTTTCTGGCATTCAGTGTCCCATCGATGACATGAAGGTGACCAATACTATCTGCTGACATGCATGACCAAATCATAACACTAACTGGGTTCTTCACAGAGACTTGAATGCAGTCAGGATGTAGCTGTTCTCCTATTCTACATCTTACATATTTTCGCCCATCACTACCGGATAATGATATCTTAGTTTCATCACTCCATATAACTTGTGACCACCGATCATCTGTCAAATTAATGAGTTCCTTTGCCCACTGTAGTCTTTTTTTTTTTTTTTTTTCCGTTGCTTAAAATGAAGATGAGGCTTTTTTCGTGGAATTCTACCTCTTAGTACAACATCTGTTAATCTTCTCCTGATTGTTGTTGAACTGACAGAAACACCAGCATCATTCAGCTCATTTCTGATGGCCGCTGATGACATTTTTCTATCTTGGAGACATAGTCTTTTTATTCTTCTGTCATCAAAAGATGTGGTGCACCTTTTTCGGCCTTTTCCTTCTTTGTTTTTTATTGAATTTGTCTCCTGATATTGTAAACAAAACTTTCGGACTCCAGATGTAGTCACTGAACCACCCACCTGTCTTACAATTTCAGCATAGGAAAGACCACTTTCTCGTAACATAATAATATTACATCTCTTTCTAGGTGTCCAATCTACTCTTTTATTTGATGTCATTGCTTCTTGACTAAATATTAAAAATTTTTTCAAAAATTCCTACTTGTAATTGCAGTGTAAAAGAAACAGGTCCTCGTTCTACAGAACAAAGCAAAATGAATTGTTTCAAGTGTAAACATGATGTCAGCTTCTACTGGCAGTTACTAACATTTGATTGGTTCTCAGAACAAGAACAGTGATTGGCCAGGAAAGCTAGACATTACAAACCACTTCATAACCGTGTTTTTTATTTATATTAAAGTACATATAACTTTTTTGTATTGCAAATAATTGAGTTTTGTTTTTTGTATTGAATTCAGTAATGAATTCTCTTTAAAATGATATATACAAGTTTGCATTTTGGGAAATGTAACATTTTCTATAAGCATACAAAGTTCAAAAACATAATAATTTCCAAAAGTGTCCTCAATTTTGGCCACCACTGTATATAGAGTGGCTATAAAGAAAAAGGTTACAAGTGTAATAAAAAATTATTTATCAATAATGGACAGAAAATACAAAAAGGATTTAAGAGGCATACTTGCCTATCATTTTTTCCACATAATAATAAAATCTATTTAGACATTTATCTGAACACAGGACCTACTTATTTAAGACAGCTGGGTGAAATCATGTCTCTGTCCATTAAGACAGTTCTCAGCATCACTGTCTGAGGACAATCTCGTTTCAGATAAATGTTCCTTAAATTTCAGGAAAAGGAAATTGTCACTCTATGTTAACCATTTGTTTGTTACACGGCGCAAAAGTGCTGCTTTCATTTGTCTCAAAAACCGCAACGCAGCGCTCTTTGCGCTGTGAGTTTCAGTGTGTCTTTGTTGCTCCGTGGGTGTGAATGTACGTAGTCTGACCTCACACATACTTTGTAACACAAGTGCACTCTAAAATAACTAACTGTGTCACGGTTTTGAGACAAATGAATGCAGCGCTTTTGCACCGCTTAGCAGTCAAATGGTTAAATCTGTGTAATATGAGGGGGGTGACTCCAGACAAAGAAAGTCTATGTAAAGAAGGAAAGGCTCCATAGATGTAATGTAAACCAGTTTGTCTTCCACGCTGCTAGAAAGAAGAGGGACGATTCGCCAAGGGATTTGGCAATGGAAAGTGTTGGCGAGAATTTCCCCCTTTGTGATGTACCTGGCCGAGATTTTCCACCTCCGCCACGTGTACAGGAAATTGAGGAAGACGGATTAAGATGAATTGTTCTTTGACTTTTCGTGATAATTTAAGTTCGAATTTTTGTGCTTTTTTGCTTTACTAGTTGAACTTGTATTATCCATATCGCAGTTTGATGTCTGATTTTATATCTGTCAATATGTAGGGGAAAAAATGGAGTCGCACAGTTTTAAACTCTTGATAAACGTGACCTTTGAACTTCGACATCAGCTTCGAGCTTTGGGGCTTTTTGGCGACGGATATTTCACGCATGCGCAGTTGTGTCCCTTTTCGTTCGGAGGGAGCCACTCCTGCTGCTGCAAAGCTTTCCTTCTTAACAATACGTATTCTTTGCTCCAGAGTTCCCACTTAAACTTTTGCAGCAATTCTTGAATTTGGCGAGCAGCACAGAGCCGTATGTTTTCATGCAGGAGAATGGCACCATCACTCCCCAAGCCAGGTGCTTGCATTGGATGGCTTCATGTAATCTTGTCAAAGTGACACAATAATGATCGGCATGACCACACTTCGATCAGAATAACAAATCACTTTTGGCCCCCTTTTCTAAATGTCTTGTCATTTCAATCACTCTGATGCACCTGAGAACTTACTCTACTTACCTGCACAATCATTGCTAGCCAACTAGTGCCATCTGTGTACGCTCTAATGAAAAAGTATTCTCTCCACAGTAATTACTTTTCAAATGCTGATCTATGTAACCTTTTTTTTATTCACTGACATATAAGCAATGATTTATATATATGAATTGGAAAGAAAATAATATCTGTAAATTAGAGGAACAAAAAGGGGTTATTGGCATCATAATGAAATCTCTAAGTGAAAAGGATTAAAGAATTGGGTGGAGGACTGTTTTAAAGATTTGTGTGTAAAAAACTACCTTTTGTGATATCTGTTATTTTATTAAATTTAACCTTTTGTATTTTGATTAGCATTTATATGAATATTTTTGCAAATCTTGGTATCTTTTTTTAATAGTACCTCAAGATTACTTCTGCTTTTTGGATGGACTAGGAGAAAGAACTGACAAATATCATCGTCCTGAACTTTGTTTAGGTTCTTATGAATTTCCAGCTACAAAAGAATATTGCAGGGTAAGAACTTTTATGAGCAAAATATTCTCTTTAACCCTTTCAGCATTGTACATGAGCTCACAAAAAATAAATCAGTGTGTTTACCTGTGGCCAAATGGATGAGACTGCTGAAATTTGGTAGTTTTATCTAGGTTGAAATCTTTTTAAATATGGATTACAGGATTATTTTCCTAATTTTTGCCCTGTGTAATATGAAAACAAGCCAACTTCCATTAACAATCCTTTATGAAGGCATTACCTTTAGGGCTTTGGCTTTAATCATGTAACCTAACATGACTATCACCATTACTTAGTTATGAAAAAATCATTCTCTCTAACCTACCATTATTCAGATACGAGTTCTAAGGAGCTTTCATTATGGGTTATGAATGCATATACAGTACAAAGTCTGAGATCTGGACATCCAGTGTGATATCATCCCTTTCTTCATCTACCACCTCATAGAGAAATAACTCCATCTTCTTGTATTTTAAACATTTATTTCACAAACACAAAACTAATACTAAACTACAATACTAATAACTGAAAAAGTAATAAAAGTGAATTTCGGTTTCATTAATGGCTCCCACGAGCCTACCGTATGACCTCTTTGTCGGTCTCCCTCTTGGAAACTAAACTTTTGGTGTCCCTCCAGACTGAGAGTTAGCACCCTCTATACATCTTGTTGGTTGGCGTCTCCCATACATCACACCACCTCCCATCCAAGATTGAAATAGGGTGAAAGCCTATTGAAATATGACAAATTATGGTGACGATATCATATTGAAATATGACAAATTATGGTGACGTCAAACGAAAGAGTTACTTACCTACTAAAGTCTACAAATCAATCGATACTGAAGTTGAAAGATATATAACACAATACTTATACAGGTTAGTTCTACACCTACTACAAGACTTCTTCTAAAACTGTAATATATAAATGATTAAAAATTAGTATTCAAACAATTCTAATGCAATAGAATACTTAAAGCGTCTATGATATACTTAAAAGTCTCTAGGAGAGTAGCTGAAAAAGAAACACACACATAAAAAAAAATAATAATATTAAGAGTTCATAAATGTCTATGAAAAGTCTTTTCTTTCACACAAGTCACTCAATAGTCTCTAGTCTGGACAACGCATCAGCATTGCTTAACTTAGCACCTGGGCAATGTGAAATTGTAGTATCGTACTTTTGTAATGCTAAAGCCCATCTCTGTAACTTAGAAGATTTTGGTGCGTTCTTTGTGATGAAACTTAACGGATTGTGATCAGTTATCAGTTCCACATGTGATCCAAAAATCCAAGTTTCAAACTTTTTCAAGCTCCAAATAACAGCATAAGCTTCCCTCTCGATAGTTGGCCATGCTTGTTGTGTTTTGGTAAGTTTCTGGCTGGTGTAACTAATCGGGTACAACTTTCCGTTTTTCCTTTAAGATAAGCAGGCTCCAACACCGGTTGAAGATGCATCACATTGAATTATAAAAGGTAACCCTGGAACAGGGGTATAAAGACTAGGTGCTTCCATTAGGCATTTCTTTAATTTAATGAATGCTTCGTCGTGTTTTTCTGTGCAGCACGGCTCTTCAGGACTTCTTCTTTTGGTGAGCTCGGTTAATGGATAAGCTGTTTCGGCGTAATGTGGAGTAGTCTCTGTAATAATTACATAGGCCTAGAATGCTTTTCAATTGTTTTTTTGTTTGAGGTCTAGCTAATTTCTGGATAGCCTCCACTTTCTCTGGATCTGTACGATGACTGCCGGAGAACCGAGATGATATGTCCTAGATACTTAATATGAGTTTTAGCGAAGGAACATTTCTTGAGATTTACGGAAAACTGTAGTTCTAACAGTTTTGAAAAAATGGTGTCAAGATGTACTAAATGTTCATTCCAACTTATTTGAATAAACAGCTATGTCATCGACGTAGGCTCGAGCAAAATCTTTGTATTTAGCAAGGGCCTGGTTCATGACTCTCTGAAATGTTGCAGCGGCGTTGCGTAGCCCGAAAGGCATGACTTTAAATTGATACTGAGCTCGATGTGTCTTGAAACATGCTAATTCTTGACTCTCTCTTTCTAATGGTATGGCCCAATAGCCTTTGAGTAAATTGAGTAATCAATGCTGGATATCACTTTGGCTTTTCCAATGTAGAATAAGAGCTCTTTAGGATTTTCCATAGGGAAGTCATCTGGTTTCGTTACTGCATTAATTAAGGGATCTAAAGTCAACGCAAAGGCGAAAATATTACCGTCTTTCTTCATAACGCATACAATAGGGTACGAAATTTCAGCGTTGGTTTCTTCAATCAATCCCATTGATAACATTTCTTCGATTTGTTTATCTACTTGAGGCTTCAATGCTTCTGGAATTCGATAAACATATGGCTTCTTCCTTTCATTGTCATTTAATCTTATTTTATGTTCTCCTACTTTGGCAATTTGTACCTTATTTATAAATAAGTTTTCATATTTTCTTAACAAGTTCATCATTTCATTCCTTTTATCATCATCTCTAAATGGCTTAAATCTACTTCGCTAAAATGAAAATGAGCGGACTTGTCACTCACACTGGGTGTGGGATGGACTTCTAGTTTTTCTTCGTTCTCAAATATTACACCTACTGCCTGTACTTTTGGATAAAAATTTTTGAATTTTATTTACATGTACTTTTCTTATTGTACCATCTGTCAGTCTAACTCTGTAAGAATCTGGATTACAACGAGATACTATTTCTGCAGGTCCTTTCCATCAGGCATATAATTTATTACTGGAATCGGCAGGCCCACTTGATCTCCAGGATTGAATTCTTTATATATAGCCCTTCGATTAGCATATCTTGCATATGCACCTTGTTTCAATTCTGCAGTTATAGATGCTTGCTCTGCTGCTATTTCTAAATTCATCTTTAGCTCCTGTAGATAATCAACAGCACTTTTACCCAATTTTATTGGTAATGGAATTTCTCCTGACCATGACGATTTTAATACTGACAACGGACCTCTGGCCTCTCTTCCATACATTAATTTAAATGGGGATACTCCCGTAGTACAATTTGGAATTTCGCGGTAAGCGAATAACAGGTATGGTATATGTTTGTCCCAATTTTTAGAGTCGTTTCTAATGATATGATGAAGCATACGTTTTAGAACTTGGTTATACCGTTCAACTAATCCCGAACTTTGTGGATGTCCTGGTGTTGCAAATCTAGGACTTGCTCCTAATCTGGCATGGAATTCTTGTGTTAATTCTGCAACAAAATTGGTACCTTGATCGCTAGCTATTACCCGAGGTATGCCCGTTCTCATAAAGATTTCTAATAATGCGTCGCATGTTGATTTTGCTGTAATAGTTCTCAAAGGGACAGCTTCTGGCCACCTAGAATGTTGGTCGACTAAACATAGTACATATTTGTGTTTACGTGCTGATGGAGGTTCAATTGGACCGATTATATCTACATTCACTGTGTCAAATGGAAATTCAGGCCTCTGAACTGGAACTATGGGTATACGATCGTTAGTTTCTCTACTTTGTAATTGACATTCCTTACAAGTTTTACAATATTCTTCAATATCTCGTGACATGTTTGGCCAATAAAATGAATAACGAATCCTTTCTTTTGTTTTTCTCATCCCTAAATGATTTGCAAAAATAGATTCGTGAGCTAATTTTAAAATTTGTTCCCTTCTAACTTTAGGTAATACCAATTGACTAACTTGTTCTCCGGAAATTCTTTCAGTATGATAAATCAAGTCATCCATTAAAAAATATTTATTTTTATTTCTTTGCGCGTTTTTATAGATACTGCGTAATGTCTCACATTCCCTTTGCTGTTGTTTAAAAATACTGGCATCTGAATGTTGAGCCACCCCACTTTCGTTTTCGCCCTGAATGCAACTTATGACTAAATCTTGCTCTCCTCCTGTCATAAATAAATCAGCGCGGCTTTCGCCTTCGAATTGTTTTGACTGATGACTCCTCGTTTCCGGTATCTGCGATGGAGACACTGTATCGCAATCACGATTCGCGCTAAGCAGATGAGATTCAGAGGTCAATAAATCATAAACATTTGGAGTAATTAATTATGCAGGGAATAGGGAATATGAAGTTTTTCTGTTAAAGCTACTAATACTTCGACAGGTTTCAATAAATTAGGATTATCAGTATTTTTGATGGATAGAGGAATTCTAGCCACTTTAGCTGCTGATATGGTTTCTCCGAATGCAGAAATTAGGTCAATATTACAGTTGTTCTCAATAGAGAAATTTGATATGTGTTTCGGATTTATAACAGAAATTTCAGCACCTGAATCAATTATGGCTTGGATTTCGTTACCTGCAACGCAAATATTTACTTTTTGCAATGGTTGCGTAAAAACTTTCATTTGACAAGCATGAAGATCCAATTTTTGCTATTACTTTATCACTAGTATTTTTCTCTGGTGTTTCTTTTTTTAGAGGAGGGTTTTGTGTTTTGTGTTACCGATTTGTTTCTTTGTGGACAAGATTTAGCGAGATGAGTGCGTTAATTTTCCACATATGTAACAGTCTTTGGGTGGATATTATTTTTTATTATGTTGCTTCTCATATGAGGCGGAATATATTTCGATTCTCTTGAAGAGTGGGACGATTTAGCTATGTTTTCATTAGTGTTAAAAAGTGGTTTCGTTTAACGATTTGCCTTTGTTTACAAAATACAAGTCAACTTCTTTAGCTAAATCCTTAGGTTTTAACCAATTTTCTCCTGTTTTAATATTAATGTAAGTTGCCGTTTCTTTATCTAACGTTTGGAAAAGTTTGTCGGAAATCATTAGTTGACAAAGTGCATCATCAAAGTCATTAACTTCACGTAACTTGACAGTAATACTGGAAATTTGCAGACAGTCTAGAAGCGAACTGAACATGTGACTCTTTAGGATCGCGTCGTGCTCTTCGGAAATTCATTAAACATTCATAAGCAGTTGGCTGATATTCTTTTAATACTAGTTTTTTAATGGTTTCATAACATTTTAGTTCTTCATC